AGACAAGTTGGTCATGATACAACACTACGACTTCATCGTTAATCTATTGCGGACTCCTCGCCTGCGGAAGACGTTACAGTCTGTTGTGTTTTTTTTCAACAATGAACAATGAGAGACGATAAAACAAGAAGGAGAAGCTGCAACAAGAAAATAAAGGAGGGGATTTTGTACCACCAACGAAGGTGATTAAAGGCGCAAAGGGATCACAAAGAACAAAGACGAGAATCGACCAGATGAACAGACGTGGACTATCAATAAAAAGGAAACACACGACGAGGGCGCTGTTGTGGTAGAAGCGAAAGGGGGGTTGGCACAGACGCGACCCGGCCCGAAGGCGTTGTTAATCTGTCAATCTTGAAGTATCGTAGGCTCTCGCGCACCGAAAGCGAAAAGTCGGTGTACTGTCTGCTGCACCTCAGGAGGGAGTGGCACAAAAACGAAAAAAAAAGTGGTTCGGGTGCGTACATGCGTATGCGGATATCTCGTCGTTGCTTCCCCCCCTCCCCCAAGCATTCGTTCATTCCGAAACGTTTCTCTCGCTGCTGCCTGTTGTTCAATTTTGCGGTTCCCGCCGCTGCCACACGTATGTACGTGCGACACAGCCCACAAGCACGATCGAAAAACACAACGATGATAATGAAAACTAAATGTCCATCCGTGAAACGACGGCAACGGCGATAACAACAGACGGCGTGTACGACAGTGAAGCACCTCTCCCTCGGCGTGGCGATGCTTGGCTGTGAGGACGCCTTGGTGCACCTGCTCAACTTCGTGTGGCCCAACATCTTCGAGACCAGCCCCCACGTCATCAACGCGGTCTTCGAGGCGATCGAGGTATGATGAGTGATGAGAGCATGATACAGTATGGGTACAGTGATGTATTTGCCCTTTGCACCATTGATGGACTTCCGTCTCTGTTTGGCTTCCCTGTCTCTGTCTCTTGTCTGCCTCTCTGCCTCTCTGTCTCGCTCTTTCTCTCTTTCTGTCTCTCTGTCTCTCTGTCTCTGTCTTGTCTTGAGTATTTTCCTTTGGATGCTGTTGGAAGCACTGAAACGTTGCCACACTCACTTGTAATTGTAATTTTTATTGTGATTTGGGGGTGTAGCGCTTTGAAACTTGTAGTTTGGCCTAGCGTGCTGCTAGCCTCTGGGATGTTCCCCGAACTTCTTGAGAATGAGTGTCTTGGCGATTTGTGTTTGCGAAACTTTATTCTTTTGTTCAATGTTGTACGTTGGTGTGAACTGTTGTCACCACGACGCCATTTCGTCCGTCGCCGGTTGGATTAACTCGTCCGGAAGACGATGAGTTACTGGACGGAGACTTGTCGCCCAGTGGGTAATGAAGCCAACACAACAGCGAAAAAGGAATTGTTTTGGGTATGATCTGCTTGGTCGTTTGTTACTTCGCGTTCACCATTTCTCTACGCTGATTTCCTGTCCTCTCTTTTTCTTGTGTTATGTCTGCCGCTCTATTTTTTGTAGGGGATGTCCGTCGCGCTGGGTGTGACGCGGATTCTTCAGTACGTGCTGCAGGGCCTTTTCCACCCCGCGCGCCGGGTGCGCGAGGTGTACTGGAAGCTGTACAACTCGCTTTACATCCTGGGTGCCGACGCCCTTACCCCTGCCTACCCCCGCCTCACTGACGACGGCAACAACACCTACCGACGCACCCACCTCGAGCTGTTTGTCTGAAAATATCCATGTACAAGTAGATTTTATGAAAAAAGTACCACGGAAGTGGCCTGTAGTTGGAGACAGACATGGGTTCATACCATAGAACAGTGATCGAGACCAAGGAAAAAATTAAAAAGTTCCGATGGCAGCTTCGAGGAGCACAAAAAGTCGCTCGACTCAACACAAGCCAAGGAATCTGTTTTCCGGTTACATTTTTTAGTTACGATGGTGCTGATGGTGTGAGTCGGGTTAATTCGTTTTTTCGTTTCTTGGTCTTGAGTTGTAACCGGCTTGAGGCCAATACAGCTCGTGGGTGCTCTCTTGATTATGTTTCCCGGCTTGCTGCGTTGCGTTGTTTTGTGGGTCGTCGGATTATTGTATGTCTTGTGGCGAGGCACGGGGGGGGGGGGGGGG